ATAATAATAATAATAATAATAATAATAATAATAATAATAATAATAATGATAATAATGATGATGATGATGTATTTGATGCTCTGCCTATAAATCAATTACATATATTTATTTTGTTTATTTATTAGATTCTATAACACCTTAGGCACAAATAACTCTAAGTAGGTTAGTCTTTATTTACTTATTTATTCAATTTATTTGGCCTTCTATCTTGCAGAAGCAACTCTTACATTATTATACATAATACAATATAAAAAGACTGTAACAGTACAAAATTAATAATAAATAATGCATAATATTGCAGTCATCCAGCATCATTGAGCTAAAACAAGATGTGTCAATTAAGAATCCCTAAAATTGGTCTGCTGTTACCTGTGAGATGAACTTCCTCTGATATAGATGGTCAGAGACAATCTTATCTCTTCAACTATATGTGAGGATATTGTAAAATTACTACTATTATTATGTACTAATCTTTTTCAAGTACTTTTATGAGTTGATTGAGAAACTGAAATCTGACAAATTTTTCCACTAATCCATGCTACATTTTTGAAACTTTAAGAGTGGTTGTACCTAAAGCTATAGAAAACTTAGTTAGAAGGTCTAGAACAGGCTGGAATAGTTGAACAGATTTGGATTTTTTTTTCAGTTTCTCACTTTTTCTTGTTTTAAATTCCATTCCAGTGGTCATAACTTTTAACTTTGCACAAAAGTTTATGTGCATTATATGCCTAATTGGTGCATTTTGCAATATCAGGTAGCTTGTCTGACCTTGTCTGAGCTCAGATGCTAGACCTGATTAGTAGTTGAATGTGAGATCTTCAGGCAATCTTGAGGCTATAGGCTAGACTGGAAAGTAACAAATATCAGAAGATAAAGATAGACTTCTTTGATGACTCAGATTGTAAGCCTCATAGACATGTGTGACAGCAAAATTGGTGTCAGTGGTACACAAATTTAATAAATAAATAAAAAATAAACATGTTGCTGTGGTAGGAAAACTGCATGTCCACGAGTCACAGCAGTTCAGCTGTTCTTGAAGAGCTTCCAATGCATTTTTCAAGCAATTTTATTTAATCTGTTTTATTTCTTTAAAATAAATAAATAAATAATACTAAGTTGAAAAAAACCACAAAATACTAGATGAAAGTGTATTTATTTCATTGATTGTGGAAATGTAGGTTGTTTTTTTTAATCAAACCAAACATTTCCACCATTCATACATTTGATTTTTTTCCCTTTTAAAAGAAGACTGGACATGGCTCATATTTACTAAATTAGTTTCCTGAGTTGAAAGAGGTTGAAATGAATGATAATATTCTTAATGTACAAAAGTAAATCAAATATATGCTATAGAGTCTTTTGATCTAATGGCATGAGTAAACAAAACCTTTTGGGCCACCCATGTAGTTGCAGGCATGATCGTTTCTTGATAAAAGCTGATTTACCAGATGAAGTTGAATGATTGTACAAATATCAAGACTGAGCACTTAGTGAAGACTGAGATTGTGATATTGTATTGATGCTGTTGAGAACAGGAAGATTTTACTGATGGTAGAGCAGTCTTCTGGCCTCAGATGTTTTGGGATAATTTTTTTCCTAGCTAGATAACACAACTGGGGCAAAAAAGATATGTCTAGGAAAATCTAGACAAATGTATATCTGCCAACAGAAGATAAACATTAGTGCATTTAATGAAATGAATTTTAGTTCCCAGGTTTTGTACCATAATAAATATATTAGTCTTTAAAGGGCTACAGATGTTTTGGTTATTTTTGTGGCAATTCAATACGTTCATTTATTCCTTTATAGCTTGTTTGCACTTCTTTCTGAGGAGGTTTTAGTAAACTATCCATGTTACCTTTTAAAAAGATCATAATGTTCCCTATATTATTTAGAACTTTGCTTATCCAATAATAATTCTGTTGCTGATTATTACATTATTGTAGCTTAGGGATCTGCCTTAAATGGGGTTCAATTGCAAGGGAACAGGGTGAGGGCTGGAATGATGCTGTAGCTGGGTGCCATAACAAGTCCTATAAGAGTGAGGAAATCCCATTCCAAGCAGTAAATGCCACTGTAGATGTGGCATGAAAAGAGCTAGGTAGATACTGTATCTGTCCAATAACTGAGCCTTGGTTGCGTGTCAATTTGTATACTTGGCTTTTAACCAAGAGGAAAACAAACTATAACAAAAGTTCAGGGAAGATATGGAATGGTATATAAAATGAGCATGAATTTGAATTTGTGTCTGTACGAAGAGATGTAACCCGGGATCAAGCTGCTTTCAGAAAAGATGTTTTATGTTTTTATGTTTTATGTTTTGTTTGTTTGTGTATTGTTTTTGAAAATCAATAAACTTTGTTTTAAAAAAAAAGTTCAGGGAATCACTAATGATCATGATAAAAAATGGTATGCAGCTTCTAAGATTTGTGCAAAAGTGAAATACAGATAGTCCTTGACTTACAACAGTTTGTTTAATGACCATTCAAAGTTACAACAGCACTGAAAAAAGTGGTTTATATCCATTTTTCACACTTATTTATTTATTTATTTATTTATTTATTTATTTATGTCAATTGCTTACAAGATAATAGGTATAAGTAAAAACATAGTTATGAATACATGGATACATATAAGAAAAATAAAAGAAATAAAAGAAACAATAGGACAGGGACGGTAGGCATGTTGGTGTGCTTATGCACACTCCCTACAGACCTCTTAGGAAAGGGGTGAGGTCAATAGTAGACAGTCTAAGGTTAAAGTTTTTTGGGGTTTGGGGAAGAAAACACAGAGTCAGGTAGAGCAGGGGTCCCCAACCACCGGTCCCCGGACCGGTACCGGTCCGTGGAACATTTTCTACCGGGCCGCCGGTTTGCTGGGCCCCGCCATCTTGTTTCGATGAGAAAGTTTTTTTTAAAGACTCCAATTTTTCTTCTTTCCTTTCTCCCAAAATGAAAATACGAAAAATGAACTGCATAAAGGTCTGCTACAGCAGGCATTCGTTCCCCCAAAAAGGAACTCACAAATTACAGAACAAAAAAAAAAAGAGAGGTAGGACCAGGATATAGGCAGACGCAAAACTTTATATGCAAAAAATAGCCAATCTGGGCGGTTAGCCCTGAGGGAAGTGTCGGGGTGGGGTGGGGTGGGGAATGGTAACAGCCGGCATGCATTTTTCAAAAGAACCACACAGGCTGCTGAGCTCTGGACAGAAAGAGTGAGCCAAGTAACATTTTGTTGCTTCCTGATTGACTAATTTCAAGCTCCCGGCTGCACTAATCGGGCAGGGCTGTGTCGCTCCAGGTGCGAGATTAAATTCAAACGGCCGTGTAGGAGGATATCAGGGAGTCGGTTGCGCCGCTTCTGCGGGAGAATCTTTTCATTGCAAGGCAAGCGGGTGGGTAAGCGCCGTGAGGTGGGCGGGTGTCAGATGGGGTGCCGCTGTTAAAAAAAAAAACTGAGCGAAAACAAATTTAATTTGGATTTAGTGGAAGGACAAGTTTTCCACTTTGTTGGATGGGTTCTAGTTGAACAAATGAAGCCGAAAAAGGGGGCTCTTGCTTTGGGGTCGCTCGGCTCGCCTTGCCTTGTCATGTGTGCTGATGCCGGTACCGGGCCGTGGATCATTTTGTGATGCCGGTACCGGGCCGTGGCACAAAAAAGGTTGGGGGCCACTGAGGTAGAGTATTCCAGACATTGACCACTCTGTTGTTGAAGTCATATTTCCTGCAATCAAGTTTGGTGCGATTAACTTTGAGTTTGCATCTATTGTTTGCTCTTGTGTTGTTATGGTTGAAGCTGAAGTATTATGGCTATTGCAACATCCCCCTGGTCATGTGATCAAAATTTGTACACTTGCTAACTGGCATGTATTTATGATGGTTGCAGTTTCCTAGGGTCATGAAGCCAGATTCACTTAATAACCGTATTACTAACTTAACAACTGCTGTGATTCACTTAAAAACTGTGGAACGAAAGATCATAAAATGGGGCAAAACACAATAACTGTCTTGCTTGGCAACATAAATTTTGGGCTCAGTTGTGGTTGTAAGTCGAGTACTACCTGTATAGTAGAAATATGTTGTATGAGTCTGGAAGATAGTAATATATTTCAGGGATAATCGATAACACAGTGGTGCCCTGTCAACAATAGGGCTGTATAGAAAAGGGATAGTAAGCAAAATTGGACTTTGGAACTTTTTCTACATGAAGATCATCCATGTTGTAACCA